CCCCCCCAACCTACTGTACTTGTTCTTGGTCAATAAAAACTAGCCATTCTTTTCTCCTCTGTCCATTTTTAGCTGCTATTTTGCCTCCACTTTCTACCCCTCTTGTTCCAAGGTTACCTTCTGTTCTGCCTCTTTCATGCCCCTTTTCACTCCAAGATCAGCTCACTCTGTCTCCCCCATGATTTAATGACTTGACATACATTAACAAACAATATATGTGCAGCTAAAATATTATCCGATTTGTAATGCATTACTGGAGGCCAACATTCATTCAGCTTCAATCAACTTGTTCATGAACACACATTTGCCAGACTTCAGGGTAAACAGAACATTCCATTAAAATGTGGCTGCTGAAATCTGTTAAAAGTTTTATTTTTTGGAGTGGAAGACCAATTGATAAAGTTCAAACACCCTGAAATATTGTGTTTGTGTCCATCCCTCCACTACCTCATGCTTACTGACAACTATATTTAAAAGAGAATATAACCAGTTTCTTTTGCACCATGGGGTCAGAGCTTTTTGTCCTGGCTCAGGTATGCTCAGCTATGACCTGCTTAGGTGCCTAACTGTTAGAGGCACAGCATATAAAGAATACATGTTGGACATTTCCAGTTATGATTTGTTAATCGTTTATTCTAGATTAGGGTTTTCTTGTCAACTAAGATACCACATGACGCGACTGTCAAGAGGCAACAGGCTTAATTCGCTAAGCTGTTACAATTATTTGTCACAATGGCCATTATGAGTCAATGAATGCATAGCTGAAACAAAAATAGTTATGGTACCTGGTATGCATTATAGCTAGGGATGCACAGATACCAAGGTCTTGTACTTGGTACAAATACTGATAATTTTCCAGCTCTAAGACTAGACTAGAGAAAAACTCAAAAGTTAGGAGGCAGCTGTCATTTTTAAGGAGCATTGGCTATGGAGCTCCTGGGGTTTGTACATCCTCGTTTTAATGTATGATTTGTTTTATATTCATATATATTAGGGATGCACCGATACAATTTTTTCCAGACCAAGTACAAGTACCGATACCAGTCTAAGTACTCACAGATACCAATTACGATACATTTTTTTGATTGTCATGTGACAATTTTCGAAAACACTACATACTAATGATTTCAGGATAGTTGTGGGGTGCCAGGGCCCAGTCACAGCTCCAACCACTGCCACCCTGGTAGTTCTCATGAAGTATTGGCACTGGTATCTGTGCATCCCTAATTATAGCTCAATGAATCGAGCCTATTCTATTTAATACTGGAACAAAAAAGAGGAAGAGGCGAAGTGTAGTCACATAGATGAAACAAGATAAAGAAAACCTGTTTACAATTTAAAAGAAAGAAAAAAAACTAATTGAAAACACCACACAGATTTTTTCCAGCCAGGAGATAACAAATGGGGAAATAAGGACGATTGTAACACTGGTGAATACTTAGTGCGCTTTCACTTTTAATGAGCCCAAATATTGTTAGATACAAAGCTATAATAAAAGGCTTTGTAATCATTTTCCTACACTTATCAGTGTCTGTAATTATTCAGGCTTGGCCTGAGCCGACCCTTCAATTAGCATTTTCTAGCTTCTACATGAAATAATAGAGGTCAGACACGCATGTTTCCCTATGTGTTTGGGCAGCTGCACAGTTCATGTGTTAAAAATGCTCTGCATGATGTTGATTTTTATTAGAGGTGAATATATCAGCATAGTTTAATCAGTGTTGTTTATTTTTCCTGAAAAGTTTTCACACTTGCATCCTGCTAATACTGTGATTTCTAAGTTGGTATTTGTGAACAGTAATTGTAAATGTAATGGTTACATTCTGCTAAAAATAAGATTTTTCACTTTATCTTTTAACAGTTTAAAACCATTTAATAGTGGTTTACCTCTTAAAAAAACAAACAAAAAACAATTACAGTAGTAACATTACAAACAATAGATAAATAAAAATGAGTACATTTACATTGCTTAGTAAAAAATCAGCTTAACATTATAGGTTTTGCTGTCTGTGCATATTTTAAATGCTTTTGGTCTGTTGGTTAGAAAGTGTAAGGGGAGAAAATTGGGGCCATTGTCCTTAACAAGCACTCAGATGAGCTGCCATGTAAGGTTCAAGGGAAGGGAGTTTGGCCTGACCAGACCATGTATAACGGTGTGGGGATGATATTGGCCCATTTAGACCTAGCAGGGCTGGATCAGGTCATGTAGGTCCTTCTGGAAGGGGGGGGGGGGTGGTGATCAGCTAAGTATTTATTGGTATGACACTGGTTTGGGTGGAGCAGTGATCAGGTATTGGCCCTCCATAGTGGACAGCGAATGGTCCATGTATGCCCAAGGGTGGGTAAAGTTAGGGCCAAATAGGCTTTCCAAAACTAGGGGATCGAAGGGCCTTGCTGTGATCGGTCTGTATTGGACTTTACCGGGAAAATGGGATTGATCATTATTAGGGTGGCCTTACCTAAGCAGAAAAGATCACGAAGAATAGGGCTTTAAAGTAGTAGGACCACAACAATGGGGCTATGTACCTAGAGGGCACTGTCTAGCATGCATAGGACTTTTCTGTAAGGGCTGACGATGAAGATGTGTAGGATTTACCTAAAGGGAGTTGACAGGGCCACATTGGATTTTTTGGTTTTATCTAGTGGGCAGTGTATGCACAGGTCCTACTACACGTTTCTTGAGTTCAGTAATCTTGTCTGCGTACAATGTAAACGTCTCTACATGCAATGCTTCTCTTATGAGGTTAATGTGACCTGGCTTTTGAAACTATAAATGACTGCCAGTTACACTCAGTTTAGGTCTTAAAAAGCAGGAAAGGCCAGAAAAACAAAAAGTAAACAAATACTCTGTAAAAAGAGTAAAAAAGGGTCAAGAAATAGGAGAAAAAATACAAATACTGTATGTTATAGGCAAATCGTGATAAAGGTGAGCTTTCCTTTTAGAGAAAATACACATTGTTTTATTCTTTATAATTGGTGGTGTTTTCCACAGTTTGTGGAGTAGCAGCTATGCCTGGGCCCCAAAACGTCATGATCTGGGGTCCGCTGCATCCTTCCTGCCTTCTAACCAATAATAGTTGAAAGATGAATGCTTATGCAATTCTCAACCTCATCCTCCAAAAGCTTTTGCAAATATGTAAATCTGTGAATTAGCTTTTTGTAAGGGTAACTAATCATCGTCATGTTAGTATTTTAGCCACACTTCTTCAACGGCCAGCATTTAAATGCTAACATCGGCCTCTGAACGTGTTTTGTTGTGCTGATAGTCTTTCTCCCTCCTATATTGATATAAATCTGTTTATTTTATGATATGTTTACAAACTAAAACATCTTCAGGTTAAAAAGGTATGCAGTAGCAAAGGATTATAACATTATATTTACCTGCCTGGAATATATGTTGCATATTCTGCTTGGCACTGGAGATTTGTTTTAGCTTATAATGTATATCTGTGCACCATCTGTTCTCGATAACTACCACAAGTGACATTTCTATTGTGTTCACCTACAGGAGATTCAGAGCCTGCTGACAAATTGGAAAGGGCCAGACTTGACAAGTTATGGGGAGTTAGTCTTGGAAGGAACATTTCGATTTCAGCGAGCCAAGAACGAGCGCACTTTGTTTCTGTTTGACAGACTTCTACTCATCACAAAGAAGAGAGACGACACTTACACATACAAAGCCCATATCCTGGTAGGTCACTGTACTGGCTGCACTCTTTCATTCGTTAGAACAAGGTCTCCTTTGTGGCTGCTTCACATTTTGCCTCTCAGACTTCTAGTGATTCAGTAGTCACATGAAGTCTCTAGTGTCACACTTAAAAAAGATTGCTTATAAAGAGGGTATGACTAGAGCATGTGTCAGAAAATAACAGTCTGCAAAACTGGCAGATGTGCTTATATCTATGACCCCCTTTTCATTTCATTGTGCATATTATCAGCTAGCCCTTTACACCCACAAAAGGTTATTTTCCCAAATCAAAGAAAGTTACTGTGCACAATTTAGAGGGAGCTTGTCAAGATAGGAAGCTGAGAGAGGGAGATATATCCTAACCTGTGTACAAGCTCCAGGTATAGGAGTAAAGTTTATACTTCTAAAGCACCTTTAAAAACAAGTCAACAGAGGGGTGGCATATTTTTCTAGCCTGGCATGTTTCTTTTATAGCAGAACCCCAAGCAAACAGCAGAATACAGAGTTAATATACGTTACTGTTGTACCTGGCAAAGGTAATTTGTAATTGCATTCAACCAATCTTCTGATTTACATCTGAAGACATAACAGCCAAACAGATGACATATGTAGCTCCAAATTAAAGCAGACCTAGCACTAAAAAGCAAGGACTACTCATTACATCAGACCTCCTTTCTTCATATCAAATAACCATATGGTGGCAATTAATTAAACACTTGGAAAAAGTTAGAAAATATACTTTCTAACCCTTGGCTTCTGTCAGCAGCATCTAGGGTGTGGATAATGTCATGATCCTTTTAGTGAAATCTTGGCAATAATAAGGATCCCAAATTTTACAAGGAGCTCCTGAACTGTACTGGAGCGTCATTGTGAGAGGGAAGTCTGATGTAATGCATGGGTCCCTTATCTTCTAAACCTTATAATTTTATCCCTTTTTGCAATAACTTTTCCATAACGGTCAATGAAAGAGATCAGTGTGTACTTGAAAGCGACCCTGTTATACAAAAGATACTAAGGCAGGATTTACCTGTAAAAGACGACTATAAATACTCTCTTTCCCACTGTCCATGCTGAAAAAATGCCATTATGATCCTGAGAAATCTTCATGTTAAGTTTGTAGTCCTGGTGACCTCCACTTTATGTATGATGTGGAGATCATCAGGAGGAACCAGGGAGAGCTACGCAGGGACCAAGGAGATCGACACTCCTGGAAGTGCTAGTTTCCCTACGGACTTCACATTAAGATTTCTCTAAATTGGAGTTGTGTTTCTCAGCAGACCTCAGGGGACAATTGCCAAGGAAGTCTTGCCTTAGTAACTTTTGTATAACAACACAGTCACTTTAAATAGAAACAATACACACTATAAATGCAATGTAAACAGACTTTCCATGGATTAATTTTTCAAGGCTTTCATATAATAATATATTGCAAGCAGTGGTGAATGATGCACTGTTTACTTTAGAAAGTAGCATGGGATGGCTAGCTTAATGGAAGATGCATAAGTGTGTGTATTACTATTCAGGCAGCATTCCACTCTCTGAACAGCTGTCATCCTGTTTACATTGTTCAAAGTATGGACCCCACCACAATACTTTACAAGGTATTCCTAATCATTTGGTTGTGGAGCAATTGGTAAAAATCTTTTCACTATTTGCTGAAATATCATGTTAGAAATTAGCCAAAGCAATAGCAGCATTTATGCAGTACATACATACAATAGTAAGCTCATGTGTACAGTTATGACTCTAGCAAGGTCAGTTCTAGGCTGCTGTTGATTTGCAACTTGTTTTCTCCTTTTTGTATTTGTCAATTTTAGCTCATAACGTTAATATAGTAAATTACTTTTGTAACCCAACTGTAAGACATCAATCTGTCTTATGTACAAATGTTATAGCGCAGAAATAGACTTCATGCCTGTTTTAAACTTTACATGTACAAACAAAAACAAACTTAACTCTGCGCCAACAAAGATTAGACCATAAATAATGTAATAAGTGTTATACATTTTATTAAAATAAAAAAACTATATTCCAAGAAGCATATAAATATATAAATTAAAACCTGCCCCATATAAAAAAAAAATCCCATCTACCATTCCGCAAATAGGGCCGCTTTCCTCACAAAGGTGCCAGGGCCATGACACATCTGTAGTTCATCTCCATAGTCACGCTGCCTCAGATTTATCTGTGTACTTACCTAAGTAAGCACCATCTGTCTATTTGCATGGAGTATTACATTCAGTACACAGGTTTGCAGTAACAAAATATATATTTAAAATTTATATATGTCGATAGTTTGCACTAATGAATATCTGCTTGCCTTTTCTAGTGTTCTAACCTTATGCTGGTGGAAGTGATTCCAAAAGAGCCCCTCAGTTTCAGTGTGTTCCACTACAAGAGCCCCAAGCTTCAGCATACTGTACAGGTAATTTATTTGCATTTAGCTTTTACTACATGACAAATGAGATCAAAGCCCAGAAAGGTCATGAACTAATCTCTTACATAAAAGACTGAAGAATCTTGACATATGTAATTAGTACTAGATCAGGCAGAGAAGGGATATTACAAGAGCACTATAGAGAAGTGCATTATTGCCTTCTAATACAAAGCTTACCCCTACTGACCACTGACACAGGGGTTCCTACTGACTCCTACTACTCCTACTGAAAACCGGGGCATTTTTTTAGTCCTACTAATCGCCTATGCTGGGACATTTTTTGATCACACTGACCTATGATGCCAGGACATTTTTTACTCCTACTGACCAAAGATACCATAGCATTTTGTACCTCCACTGACACAGGGACATTTTTTACTCCATTTAACAACCAATGCTTGGGCATTTTTACCTCCACTTACTGAACACTGCCTGGCCCCTGAACTGAACACTGCCTGGCCCCTAAAGAAGAAGACAAGTCCTTCAGAATTTCTCAGCAAAAATCAAATGTGGTCTGTAACTCAGTAGAGACACCCAGGAAAAGCAGTGGGCCAATCGTACAGCAGTGAGATTTATGTGGCATAGTGCACCCCATTTGTGTACTGAATGTAAAGTTAGAAGTCGTTTTAAGTTTGTTAATACTCAGTGTAAGATACAGAATCCACGGCTTCTGTGGAGCTTGGTTTTGGGAAAGAATGCCTTTTTCAGGTGGTAGCCATTAAAATGTATGTAAACCCTAACAATGAACATGTGCTTCGTACTCCCTTTTGGTCTGTTAGAGGTACCATTAAGCATTTTGTTATATATGTTCCTTGATTGCAAAAAAAAATACCCGTTGATCATGCCAAAAATCCGGTGCTCTCTGCATTTCTTTCTCAGTTAGTGTTATCAGCCATGCTTGGTTCTCTTTGTGGTCAGAAAACCTCACCCTGTGTTTATAGAAGGGAACGTCCGCACAACTTCCTGTCCTAGGGTGACACTGCTGCACCCCCATAGATATAGTACAGTGAGTGCTGTCAGAAAGTGTCTTACTGGTAGGAGCACCTAGTAACTATAAAGGGAAAAAAGACTGAAAAAAGAAAAGCAATGCAGCCAACACATCCAAACACTGGAAAGATGCAATATAGTTTTTTTTTTTTCTCAGGATAGATACACTTTAACAAAAACAACTGGACCCCTCCAGAGAGATTAAACCAAACCAAGGCTGTCTGCCTTGGTAATACAACCCGTCTAAGACATATATTTTCTATGTGTGAACAGGTGGCATAAATACTGACCCTGTTAAAATGTGCCCAGGTACTCAATGGTTTGACAGCTGTCTGTTTAGTGCTGTTTCGCAGGCCCAGCACACTTGTCAAAATATTGATCAACTGCTTGTTGTGACTACATCAACCAGTATACTTAAAGTAGCTTGTCAGACAAACCAGTAATTTGCTAAGCAATATTTACTGCCACCTAAATGGAATGCAATAATAAAGCCAAGCTTCCATCATATATTCCTTAAACAATAACACATCAATGCAGATTCATAAAAACAGGAAACAATTGTAGTTGTAATTTTGAATTATTGTCCATAGGAACCAATCAAAATGATTACTTCTTTTCATAAAATTAAAGCTTAAAACTATTTTGTTCTCTAGTTTTTAAGGAAACCCTAGCCCCCTAGGATTGCCTTAGGGAGAAAAAGGCCACCCCATCTAGCACTGGGAGTCTAATGAGGTCCTGCCATTACACAAACTGCCTACAAATACATCTTCTCCTGTGAAGTGAAAGGCCAGTGATCAGCTTTGACCAATGGTACTACTGCAGGAGCATAAAGGTTGTAGTTGGGACTCCTGGACAGGCACTGGGCCCTAAGCTCCTTAGGTTGCATTGTGGATGATCTGGCTCTACATATGGCTATGAATGCGATGAGCATTTGAGAATTATGGACATGCTAAGACGAGAATGAACTTGGGTCAGGAGAAAGGTGTTAGGTAACAATTGTACAGTGACATGTCTTGTACTGTAAGTAGCTCGACTGCTATCACAGTTACCATCTAATAAATCTTGTTTAATCTTAAAGTAAAAATTAACCCTTAGCTTGTAATTATTCGTAATAATTAGACTCTGCAAACGCCAAATCCCCTCATTCGGGACTAGCTAGAGTTTGAGAGCTATAAAATGCAAAGTAGATCATCTGAATTGCCCAAGTACTTAAAAGTAAAATTTTTAACTATTATTCCAGTGCGTGTGGGCCCAATTAGAATCAAACTGAGACCTATTTAAATCAACAGCACAGTTTGAGTTCTTGTGTGTAAACAGTTCTTTATTTTTTCCTTTGATGAGCAGAACATGCCACCATCAGTGCAGTTCTTGTACTGCATGTTTTTTCTTATAGTTCTTGCTCTTTTTTTCTCTCTTGTTCTCATTTCTCTCTCATTATGTTTCCCTTTTTGTTCTCTCCCCCTCTCACTCTCTTGTTTCTCCCCCCCTCTCGCTCCCCCACGCCCTCTCCACCCTCTTTGGTCCTCTCTCTTTCTTTCCCTCCCCCTCTTTGGTCCTCTCGCTCTCCCCCTCTTTGGTCCTCTCGCTCTCCCCCTCTTTGGCCCTCTCGCTCTCCCCCTCTTTGGTCCTCTCGCTCTCCCCCTCTTTGGTCCTCTCGCTCTCCCCCTCTTTGGTCCTCTCGCTCTCCCCCTCTTTGG